ACAGCACACCATCCCACCCCCACCCACCACCGGTCCGCACAATAACCAACAGTAGATATCCCCCCCTTCCCCCCTTACGGTGCCTCATAACTTCGCATTCGGAAGACTACTACGGTAGGTATATAGACGACAAGAGGTCTGAACCCTGGGGGAGGATATTTTCGATCAAGTGATCAAAGTACCTATGCTGAGGTCGGCCGGCTTGGTACATGGTATGCATGTCGTGTGTGCAATCCACGTGATGCCTTCTCTGTACCGAATTACTGTGGTATTATGGCTGGTTTGGTAGCGCGGGTTCAGTTTCAGAAGACGGGAAGTTTATCCGAGCAGCCAAGCACGCATAACTGAGACAATGCAAGCCCATATCGATGATGGACGCCACATACATATGCAGGCACGGCGGACGATTTGGAATGCCCACGCGAGCGTCTAATCCAATCGCATCCAGTATCCCATGCCATCTCCAACCAGCCCCTCCTCCTTCAGCACAGAATACCTTGAACTTCAGCACAAAGTCCAAAGTTAGGCCCATAGTGGAGCGTGAGGTCGTGTAACGTGTAGGGGTTCTATTCCCAGCTTCCTTCTCAGGGACTAGATACATACCTACTTATACATGCCAATCTTCGCGTCGAAAGTCAAAGGCGTCATCCAGTTAATGCCTAGGGTTTTAGTTTGGTACCGATCAAGAAGCACCAGGGTGAATCTTACCAACAGAGCCAAACTTCTCAACACAAGTATATACATCGGCTCTACGACCCGGGCGCGGCATCTGCGGTAAATTTCCGCTAAAGATCTGGTGCGTGCTACTTACGTAACCGAAGAAAGGGTCCAAGCTCAACTCTCGATTCTCAACCACCATCTGAGGTCATGATATCATAGATTTGTATGAACCTTTGTTGCAGCGGCCGATTCAGCCCATTCATAAGATAACGAGGGTAGACGGGCAGAGGACGGGGTAGATTAGTATGAACGTGCGGTCTGTCCAGGGTAATCCCGCCCACGGGTCAATCAATGTAAGGCAGCCGGACGAAAGAAGGGTCCGCTTGAGCCCCTCATTTTCCCGATCACCACCTGCTACATACCTGACAGCGCGGATTAAGCTCCGAACCTCATCAATGCATCAAGTAGTGTAGCGAAACCACCTCGCCATCTCTCTCCAAGACACAGCGCATGGCGGCTTCTCTCAAATACGTGCTGCATTACTATGGGTCCCAGAGCCTCCTCCAGAGACTCGGGGTGTGGAGAGTAGATCCTGCAAGGAAGGGCAAATACTGGGTTGTGTAAGTTCGTATCGCCCCGTCTCATTTCAGGACTTAGAAGAGGATATGGCACAATGGCGTCGGATTCATTTATGTTCCTTGTTCTCTCCCGTTAATTGTACGGATGTAAGCGACACGCCCATACTAAGAAAATTAGTTATATCCATGGCGGCGCATGGCGCGACCCACGCGTCACGCACGAGAGTTTCATGCCGAGCATTGACTGGATACTCAAAACGTCACCAGCGGCGACAGACAATGTGGGCGACAATAGTAGGGATAGTACTTCGAATGCGATAGCTGGGTTCGCATCCATCGATTACCGGCTAAGCCCGCACCCCCAGTTCCCGCAGGACCCGGCCAAAACGCCTCCGGACCAGTACCGTGGGGCTCGGCATCCCGATCACATCGACGATGTGCGGTCCGCGCTGGTCTTCTTACAGCGGACTTATGGTTTCGGAGGCGACTACGTATTGGTGGGACACTCGGCAGGCGCCGCCCTAGCGTTCCAGTTGCTGACTACTTCGTCTCCTTCCGCGACGGCCACAGAGCATCCGGTCCCCCCGGCTGCCATAGTAGGCTTTGAGGGGCTCTACGATTTCACGGCCGTCGACGCGCGGTACGGTGGAGCCTACGCGACGTTCCTCCGTGGTGCGTTTGGCGATGATCCTGAGAACTGGGACGCCGCCGCGCCCATCAAGTTCACTGGAAACTACGCAGAAAATTGGCCTGGTGGGAAGTTTATCTTGCTTGGCTGGTCGCCTGATGATACCCTTGTCGACGAACCTGAGGCGGATAATATGGCGCGGCGGTTAAGAGACGTTGACGGCTTTGTGAACGAGGGCCAGGGGGGAGAGCTTGGGGAGAAGACGTTGCTGCTGCTGAAGGATGTACGGGGCGACCATGACGAGATTTGGAGGAGCGGCGAACATGTTAGTCGAATGGTTTGGATTGCGCTTCGGACGTTGGGGACTGAGTTGTAATGCAATGTACTGTATATCTGCATAGCCAGGCTGGCAATGCAACACGTGCGAAACTTCCTGGGCAATGATCTAAAAAGAGGAGTCATTTGAGCCAGTTCGTAGTGGCCTATTATATATGTGACATGGCAGCATGCTATAGTTAGCAATATGCACGTGCAACACAATCGGATTTTTTTGTGGCCCAGAAGTATAAGAACAGCCTGAGGAGATCCTGTAACAGCCAATTTCTATAGCATTACCAGTAAAATGACATTTGTACGAAGTTGCCCTGAGCTTCAGGATAGCATGTAAAGGTTCAAATTATAAGCCTCATGTTCCATCTTCTTCGTTACTCTGCTGGGGGGTCTCCCGGGCAGTTTGGAGGCCGGGTCGCTTGATTTCGCTTTTTGTGAACGAATAATATGCATATTTGACTCGAGATGACAGGTAGAACACATTCTAGAAGCATTGCGCCCTCGACGACACTCTCCAGTCGATCTGAGGGCTTGGTCAGCTGATAGCAATGCCCCAACGTTAATGATGTACATCTGAGGACTCGTAGACAGCTGTCAACTTGGTAGTGCAGTTAAAGCGCTTATGAGACGTGTGAACCTGGGCAAATTATTCCAGCAGTGACGCTATTAGAGTCTTCTGCGCTTCTGAATTCATTTTCTTATCTCTACTCTGAGGGCAATGGGTCTATCAGAAATCACAACATCGCTCATGCTCCTTTGCAGCTTCTCCGGTAATGATACATGGACTTTAATTATATACGACAGAATGAGTTCCTTCGTGGAGACGACGCCGACAAGAGAGTGAGGAAAGGTCCGTGTCTTTCTCCAACCACGGAGTAACTAAGTGATGTACCTAAAATCCGGGTGCCTGTATCCGAGATCAGCCTTTTCTTCCTCCGTGAGCCCTTCGAGCCGATAATCGCGACCACCATGTGCCCGGAGGCGGTTTTCGCGTAGGCAGTAGAAAATACCAAAGATGGAAAGAAACAATACAACGACTTGAGCAGCAAAGTTGATGGAATGCCCTATAGGGAAGTTGGGAGCATCGCTTGGAAGATAGGCCCAAACAGCTAGAATCCCTCCCGCCGTCCCGAGGGAGACGATATAGCCACTGGATACGGCACGAACGGACGGCCCGGCGGCGTTATTGATACCCCACGAGAGGAAACCGGGGCCACCTGGGAATGCGCCCACCGCACAGAGGTAAACAGCAGCATATTTAAGCTGACTACCGCTGCCCCAGCGCAACAAGCCGAACCCTGTAATTCCCAAGATCGTAAAGCCTGCGAGGTATATACCGCGCATTTTTGTTTTGTCGCTGATGTATCCAATAGCAATAGCAATGAGCGATGCTGCAACGTATACGGGAACGCTGTAATATTGTGCTGTCAACCCGCGATACCCGATCTCCTGTAGGATAGTCGGAAGAAACACAGATAGTCCTTGAACGGTGATATTGATGAAGAAGAACCCAGCTGCACAGATATAGTTATTGATGTTGCTGACTGCACGTTTGATATGACGCATCTCGACTTTCTCATTGCTGGATTCCTTGTGCTCCAGACGAACCCGTTCAGCAGCGATCCACCTCTCACGTGTGGATAGGTGGTTGGCGGTTTCTGGACTTTGTGGTAGGATGAATGGCGCCACTATGGCTGCTATCACGGTAATTATCCCCTCGAAGAAGAATATATTACGCCATGTATCTTGGAAAAGGTCCTGTTAATATGGAGACCGCACGTCAGACGAGGGATGGGAACAAGCTCACGCAATTTTGACCCAGCAATCCCCCATTCTGGAATTTGTGAAAATCCGGCAGCAAGCAGTCCACCGAAGGCACCGGCGGCCGACGCTGCAGATACATATATACCAACTCTGAAATACAGCTCTTTTCTCTTATAGAACGAGCTCAGATAAAAGGCAATGCCAGGACTGAACAGAAGATGGTTAGAACCATGATATTCTCCATTGGCAACTCAGACTTACAAGGCGCCACCCTCGAACACACCCAGCAATACTCGCACTCCTACTAATTGCTCATAGGTTCGCACGAATGCTGTTCCTATAGACACGGCCCCAAACCCAAGAACCAAAGATGGAATATAGAACCGTGGGCCAACGCGTTTAAGGAGGATATTTGAGGGTACCTCCACCACGAGATACACGACATAGAAGATGCTTGTAGCAATATTGAAGCGGTAACCAACGAGGTTCAAATCTTCCGACAGCCCCTGAATCCGTGCGTTGCCAATATTTACCCTAGCAGGAGTTTGTTAGCAAGAGAGGGAGGAAACCGAGAGGCTACGAAACTGGAGATCCTACCGATCGAGGAAGCAGAGGAGATATAATATGGTGAGCATGGGAACAAGTTGTCGATCGAGTTTCCTGCGTACAACAGTCTCCTCTTCTTCCGTCCAACTAGGTGAATCGGCGGAGTAGAGGCTCTTGTCCTCGAGGAGGACAGCCTCGGGCAGGGAGCCCTGCTTCTTCTCGTCGACCTCCTGTACCAATACCATGACGGCGTGAGTAGCTGACGACAATTAGGTAGAATTATGCTAGAGGAGAAGGGACGGGCTCGTAGAGTCTGGGAACGCCAGCATGCTATTAAGTATAAGCCAAGTCACCAAACTCAGACTATCATTTCCCTCCGTCCCTGACAGTCACAAGCATCCTTTGGCCACCCATGGGGAGAAACCTGGGTAGGCCTTCTAACGGACTCATGGAGAAGCAGGGGGCCTGGCCGGCTGATTTGATCCCAACGACGACCGGCACGTAGACTCTCTTCTCTGATTGAGTCGATAGACGGTGCCCTTGGGGTAACCCTGCTTCGCCTAAAGCGGATGTTCGCCTTCCACTGCCATAACACCTGCCGACTGCGGTCTATAACCGGCCTTCCCCCCGACCCCCCTCTCCCCCAGGACCAGCTAACACGGCAGTGGTAGCTCTTGGCACTGCGGGGAAGCTGTTGTACGACAGCCAGCCAATGCTAAGCTGAACCCTGGCCTTGTGGCGATAGACAGGTGCGCTGTTAATGGCGAGATGGGTCATATTATCTCGAAGAAACGCAGATTATGTCGTGAAAGTTGCTACTCCTCCGATATTAGTATATATTGCGACTGTGAAGATGGCTCATCATGAAGCGACCTTTTACGGTCTGAATAGCATGAACCTACTGCTCCGTACATGTATGCACTACCTATGTATGTTGGTTCGCGACGACTTCAGTACCAAGACATGGGGTTGCTTGGCAGATAAGCTAGACATGATACTACTGTAAGTAGCGTAGCAGGGAATCGGCCTTCAGCTTACTCACTCAATACACCGCCATACCATTTTTCTACATGTAATGTGAGGGAGCGATATCGACAAACGGTCTGTAACTCGGAGGTTGACTTAAACAACCATATGAAAGCTATAAAAGCCACGGTTGACTGGAGGAGGTGCTCCAAAATAGGAACCATAATACGACTTAAGGGAGGGAATCAGATTTGTAGGTAGTTGAGGTGTGGCCCGGATAATTGACCAGTGTTACGGGCAAATGCCAATTCATTGGCCAATTGGATAGCGGTCAGACTGATCAAGACAGGACAAATGCCCGATATTACTACAACGAGCTTACTTCGTACGTAGCGTAGCGTATTGTAGGTATTATGTAAAGAATCAAAAAACGAGCCATATAGGTACCGTAGATTGTTAATGGACTGTGAGACCACCATGGTATCAGTAAGCCAAGGGTTATCACATTAACTTAGGCACTTACTAAGGTCTTATCTAGCAAAAGAGGACTTTGTATATTTAGACGAGCCCAAAAAAATAGTCTAAGTATAGTAAGACATTGAATTATGGACAAAATGTGGGAGACACCTTAGACTGAAATTCCGCGTATATAGTAGTGCTACTACGTACAGCGATCATTCCGCGCAATTGTCTGCGCAATAAGGAGCAGGCACCTCAGCACCTACGTGAAAGTGAGTGAGTACCAAGATATGTTGATTTACGTGTTACCTACTAGTAAATCATAACATTGCGACGTGTGCGACCCGTTCTTCCCGCCCCGGCCGGATCCCCTGATCCTCCCCCCGTTGTACTATGTAATCAGACGGTCGCAAACATAATACCTAGCACACAAGGCCGTGACATGCTATGAAACAATCTTGAAATCTACCTCGATCGAAGATTCTAGTGGTCGTCGACCCTTGATCGCAATATGCATCTCCCTGCATTTGCATTCCCACCGTAGGTAGTCGTACCTACCTATGTACCTACCTAGTACATTAGGTATCTACTAGTAGCAAGCATTGCCAAGCACAGGCGTATGTAGGTACTGTACATGTATGTACATGTATGCGACCCTTGGTAATCCGCGCTGACCACTGCAAGCCCACAAGATGCTGTGTTCGTATCTGCATCTGTGTAAAATGTATAAAGTATGTCTCTGTATCTGCACCTGCTGTACGCAATTGCGTAGAGAGATATGGTGCTACATAGATTATGTATACCTACATATGTATGTACCCAAGACCACAGCTCTGGTGCTGTAGGTACTATACTGAAGTGTGGGAGATACCTACCACTATGTATTTACCTATATAGTACCATCTCAGGTACGGTACTACGAAGTAGGTATGTAGGTAGCAGGCCCCCGCCATCCGAAAGCGCAGTTGCGCAGATCACATTGAAACACGTCAAGGTCAAGTAAGCGGGGTGTGAGGATAAGGAGAGCGAGGGGTGCCGTTGGCTGGCGCCCCACTAGGCACATATCTACCTAGTACGTACCTACCTACTTATGTAGGTAGTCTGTACCTAGGTTCCTATATGTACGATAAGGGGCTTGGGCAGTTCTAGATGTACTTAGCACATATCAATTTTGTGGCTAGTCCTTGCAGGCCTGGGGTGCTGGAGATGCTGCGCTAAATAATGAGTCCGCACTAGGCGCCTAGTACGCTGTAGAGTATTAGCTACCTAGCGCAAGTTCTAGTTCAGCGCAAGTTTAGCGAAAGCCGTAGATTGCGCCGGGGATCCGTACTGTAATCGCTCTTCTCCGCTCAAAAGGTCCCGTTCCGTACTAGCGCAGGAACCAACGATCGCAAGTCTAAGTCAACGTCAGACCCTGCGCATCTCGTCATTGGCGGGAGCATAACTTTTGCGCCGTGATGCGCCGCGGGCGGCTGGCGGCTACCAATACCCCAAAACACTGCGACAGTCACGGGAACGACGTCGCGCTTGCCATGCGCTCGGCTTGATATGGTATGCGCGCATCATAGGCCCATGGATAAGCGCGCGATGCTTGTCGCCGTTGAGTGCTATTTTAACCCATGAATGCCTAACTAAGGCAGGTAAGAAGGCAATGTGTGTCTTACATAGGTACCGTAGATGGAAAGGCTTGAAGCTAGATAGGGAAATCGTCACTTCGATCAATACCGACCTAATAATTTCTGTGACTGTCAGTCCATCCCCGAGGCGTATACTCGGTGGCGCGGAAAGAAACAGATCAATTTCTTAGACAGCCATGCGCCAAAAGTCTACATGCGTGCGCGAATGCCACAACACTATAGCGAATTTTCATTAGGCCTTGTAACAGCTAAAGTATAGAAATTTTCAGGCTACTTAAAAACCATGCCTCGTCTTGAACAAGCTATAAACATCATAGTCGAGGCGGGTAGACAGACCAGAAAAGACAACACAGCCACTATGCGAATCACTCTCGATATACCATCACCGACCGTATAGCTGGGACGAACCGACATGATCCTAGACAGGTTCGCCTCACCCATTTGCGGCGCCATAGCTTGAGCATCTACCAGCGCGCCCCGTTCCCCCTCCCTTTCTAGCCCAGAGGCATACCCGAGTTTGCCTGAAACCTCAATTTTCTAACCACCACCGCCATGTCTTTTACCCTCTTCAACGGATTTCATTTCATTTCCAACAGGTGCTTGCCATCTTGTAGATAACACACGGTCTGGCCGCGTTAGGCAAAGAGCACATGTTTTGGAAACAAGCGCGAAAAGCAAAAGTGCAGGCGTGGGATCCAACGCCAGCTCATAGGGATTGCTTGATAAAAAGATTCGTTCCGACGTAGCATTTTGTTGAAGGAATGTCACGGCCTCAAGACCTCAGTATTAAAACCTCGATTTCGTTTGCGCCCTTCCAAAAACCAAGCTTATAACGCCGATGCCAAAGGGAAATAAGTCTAATTCTGCTCTCCATCTCAAGATGGCGCCACAAGGCCATCGTATGTAATCATGTGTCAGTGAGGAAATTGTGAGCCAGTGCCAGCTTCAGCCGCCATTCTTGGCTCTGAGCTGGCTTGAATCTTCGTCAAAACCAGTCCATGCGACGCATCTGCCTCCAAAGGCGTACGGCGGGGCACAAGTGTTCTTGCCAGACATTGACAATAATCTAGACATCGCTCTACCTATGGCGCTAGAGCGATCATGGCTTGATTTAGCCTACCGCTTCCGTTTCTTATTTTTATCCATCGTGACTGTTGGCACTGCGATAGGCGCGGCAGGCAAAAGAATGGGTGCCGCCGGGACGTCCACTGATTTGATAGGTACGCCCATGTGGCGCCCATAACGTCCCTTCCGTCCATTGCCTTCATCCTCACTGATGCATTGGTCGGCGCTCAGGCCGGCATCCCGACAACGACCGCACGGCCGTTGACGGTCACATCCCTTCTTGCTCTTTCGGCATCGCTGACAACGGGGTTTTGTTGACAAATCCGGCTGTTCCTCGTCGCCAGGTTGACCTGACATTGCTGAAGCAATGGAGGGTTTGCGCGAATGGTTGGGCAAAGATGCAGGCGACATAGGACCGGCAGCTATGCTGTTGGATTTTTTCGGCTTCGCAACAGTCGTCTTAGGTGTCTTTGTCGCCTTGGGCTTACTAGTTTTGGCGCTAGATACTCGAGGCTTCCCAAGATTTTGAGACTTTGCCTTGGCATCGCCATCCTGTAGGCCATGAATCTCCCCAGCGCCAACCTCTAGATCAGCATTGCTTGCACCTGTATCCCTATTGTTGTGCTGCGGTATAAAATGACTGTCCGTTGTTGGATGGGTCTTGTTCATTGCACCATTCTTGTCTAGCTTTTGGCGACGAGCGGGTGGAAGCTCGTCGTCGTCGTCGTCGCTACCACTATCGCTTGTCGCACCAGTGGAGGAAGCAACCTCTGCTTTACCACTGAAGGTGTCATCTAGAGTCGAAGCAGATGTCCTGCCATGAGAAACGTTTGACATGTCGCCCAGTCTCATAAGCTGGATTGCGACATCCTTATCCTCTTCAGATACGCAACTGCCAATGGTGGGATCGGGGGTTGGAAGGATGCCAGAACCGTGGTTTGGATAGCCTATGCTGCCCCGGTGGCGTCTTGAGTCAGAAACAGGGGTTGCAAACATGCCCTGTTGACCATAGCCGTTGTGAGTTTGGGGAGATTGGAGTGGCTGAGGGTTTGTGAAGGGGTTTTGGCCTGGGTAGGGGAAAGGCATTGACGGTCGCTGGTGCTCCACACGACGAGCTGGAGACACCGATGGGTTTGAAGTGGCTGCAGGCATCTGGGGCGGCGCAAACAACGGCAGTTCCTAGATGTAATGATGATTAGGAAATCGATTTTGAGTGAGACGGGTGGTACATGGCTTACGGAGCTTTCAAATTTGGCGCGCTTCCGACGACCGCCTTCGACGATGTTTTCAACGCTGATGTCAGTGTTACCGATGTGATCCTTTGCTTTGCTAGAAACGGACCCAGCGGCACCATCGCCACTACTGTATCCGTTGGCACTATCATCATAACTGGAGCTAGGATTCTTGGTCGAACGAGAGCGCCCCTTTTTCCCAGCTGGATTCGTACTGACAGATGTGCTTCGCCGACCACCGGTTCCGTTAGGAGAAGGACTGCGCCTCCGTGATGTCCTTGAGCCTGGTCTTGAAATATGGTGGCCCATCTGATGGCCCGTATATTCTAGCGACGGCGGCTGGAACGCGGCAGAGTTGAACGGACCAGCCGGCGAAGAAGAATCCTCAATAACTCTGACGTAAACCACCATGTTGTTGCTGAAGTTCTCGTATCTCGCGATCAAGGTATTGCTCCGATCGTCCTCAAAACTGATACCCGCAACGCCATGGTATAAGCCGTAGAAGTTCTTGACTGTAGAGATGATAGATTCTGTGTCATCATGTGGGAATATTTGAACACGCAATGGGAGTCGTGCTCGATATTGGGGAGATTGAGGGAAGAGAAGCTCGAATTGGACGTGCTTGGGGGCTACGGGTTGCCGAGGGGAGACACTTCCGCTATGTGAACTCGCAGAGGCGCCTGCATATGGCTCAATGGGTGATCCAGACGCCATCTTACCCCCCTGATGTATTGATGATGTACTAAGGGTAATCTTAGTAGCAGAGTAGGTCTGGTGAATGTTATGGTGAGAAGCGCCCGCAGCAGGTTGGGTGTTGGTTGATTGCGGATGGAATGATGAGGGCTTGAGCGTGAGGAGGTTGGACACGTCCATCACCTAGTTGGATAGACCGTCAATCGTTTTCTCTGCAGAGTTTGGTGGCTCTCAAATTCAATAGCTTTCAAAAGCGACCGATTATACTGTCGGGTTTGTGGTCTAGAGGTGAAGGGTGAAGGGCGAAGGGCGAGGGGAGGGCAAGGGCAAGGGCGGTCAAACCCCGGTCGCAAGACTGCGAAGGAGTATAGATATTCGAAAACTTGACAACGTCGCCTCATGTACCTATTAAGAGTTCAAAGTTAGCTGGGTATTTTAAGTAACAGGAAAAAGAGAGGAAATGGATGGGCATTGAGTGTAGACAGTTCTACTCGTCGTAGGCGACCATGGTTGGTATGGGAAGTAGCATTCTGTGGCACGCCCATGGTACCATTGTGCCGAGGCGATTTTGCAGAGCGATGGGGAAGAAGGCGGTCCCCATTGGAACGGACATCGGATCGCGTATGGTGGCAGACTCTGAAAAACTTACCGAGACACAGAGAAGATGGTGTTGTCGTGTTAGAGACGCATGAACTCGACCTTGATTCTTGGTGCCCCCGAGTCGGCCTACGAGAGAAGCGGCTTAGCACGAAGAGTGCGAAAAGGAGCAGGCTTGCCAGATAGACCGGCGATGTGGATGACGATGAGGGCGTAGATGAGGCAGGACGACTTACGGCAGCAATGGAAGTGGTTAGATAGGCGGTTTGGTCGAGGAATCAGGCTCGTGTGAAAGAGGAGGTAGAAGAGAGGGCGAGGTTTTGCACAGTACTGGGTGAGTCTCAAAAAGGCCCGCCCACACAGTTAGTGAACCTGGGAAGTCGTGGGTGCACGTACCCGTGGAAGTGTGCCATTCCTACCGCCTGTAGGCACCTAACCTGCCTGTAGCGTCCCCCCTACTGTGCACATCACAACCACTAAAGGAGCTACTAGCACTGCGTCACATATGATATTGCCTACATAGGTACCTACCTACCTAGGTACTTACATGCTACCTAGGTAGTATACTTACCTGCTTGCGGTTTGGGAAGTACCATAGTACCCAGCCTGCACAAATTGCCAAATGAATACACGAAATGAGCATGTGGAAAGGGTCAATTCGTGGGGTTTAATGAGCTATCCAGCCATTGGCAACATCATCTGTCGTTCTGTTTGAGCGTCCCTATGTGATTATTCATGGCTGGGGAACTCGAGCATAGGTAGTAAGTAGGCATTTTGCACTTTCTCCTCTTTCAACGGGGCGACATACATACCTAGGTACTTATATAGTACATACCTAGGTAGTAAGTTAGACTTGGGAGCATGCATAAGGGCCCACGGATTGTTGAAGTTTCCCAACATTCCAGCACGTCACCGATGCTCAATACTTGATATTTGGTCACTACTAATCGAATTGGCTTCAGGTGCCTTGGGCAAAGTCAAGACAGCCACACTGCGTATTTACTACCGTATTCCCCTAGATAGCAAGGCCAAAGAGAAACCCTCACTGGAGGGGCACTTGCTCATCTATACCTAATACATAGGTACCTTATCTCAATTGTATTCGGGGTATCTATCTAGGCGGCAGGAGACACGGTACGCATGGTGTTTATTGTATCTCCGTCAGACATATGCAACACTTGACATCAAACTAGGTACTCAAACCTACCTTATGTACCTAGGGAAGGGAAAAGCTTGTTCCCAATTACACCGCACTCAGCGTGTCTCGATGACAGACAGGACTTACTTCCTCCGAGGGTACGAGGTAGGCATGCCGCGCAAGGATGGTTCGTACTGTAGCTATGTGTCGCCGTGTCTTTGAAAGCCGGTGAAGACGTCTGTCTGCATACCTCCCAACTGGTGCCAAAAGGTCTACTCGGTCCGTGTGGTGTGTTGTTCTCTTGTTACAGCCAGTCACGGCTGGGAGAAATGTCCGCTTGGTTGCGTTCAGAATGGAGGCCCAAGCGACTTTGCTGCTGTGGTGGACTGCACCTGGACGAATTGGATCTGCGACTGGCCAAAACTTACTATGCTCGAGTGTGACCCGGCGGTCCCTATCGGGTCTTCGCTGCTATTCGATATAGTAGGGACCTTTGAGGACCGGCTCAACCAACTTGGAAGCGTCTAACCCAAGGTTAGGTAGACAGTTAGCGACTGCGCTGGCCACCCTCGAACTCGCCCTTTCCGACACCAGTTGGCTCTGCGCCCGGCGCCCAATCTTTCCAGGGCTCGCTCGTTAGTGTACCGTAGATCTCGTGGTTGATTATGCCCTTGGCATTATCCCACCTCAAAGTAGGTAGGTGGCATCCTATACCTACATGTAGGTAGGGTCGGTCGGCTCTGGTAGGCAGATTTACTTGTCACCCGAAGCGGTTGACTGTGACCAACCGGCTTTTAGTGGGACAGGCGCTGGCGCAATTCCAGCCGGGATACAATGTGCGTGGATACATACCGCTCCGGTCGCATTGCCATTCCTTTACTCAGTACTAAGTATGTAATGTCATTGATGTAGGTATGTCGCCTGCTCGCCACCCCGAACTAGAGCGTCCCTTTTGGCTAGGTAGCGATAGAGATGTCCTGCACAACTGCGCAACTGCGCAATACGATGATGAACACGCCATCATCTTGCGCCGCCGTCATTGTGGAGAAAGGGTGCGACAGGGGGGGACTTGCGACTGCGGGCTGAGCAGCGCACTACCTACTTACACAACAACAATTGCCCACACCATAGCATATTGTACCTACAGTCTCTGCTGCTATTATTATGTACGGGGTATTTCGAGGGCAAATCCTACGCGCGAAACTTGTCATGTCAGTGATAGTCAGCAAGCGTGTTTCCCGCTTTGAATCTGGCGCTGGAGAGCGTCTCGCCCGCTGCGAATGCCAAGCAGGTCGCAAAACTTGGGCTATCAGGTGCCGCTATGCTGGTTTGCTAACGTAGCTTGCATGGTCACAGCGAACTTGGTGGACGGGCGAGACGGGGATCTCAGGTCATTCAAGTGGCCAAGCCAACGGCCGATCCAGCCAATAGCGCCGGCATATGCGCCAACTTGTCAGAACAAGGGTGCCTGTCCTCACCGTTGACTGCAGCTGGGTAGCTTGGTGTGCAAGCAACGTGCTGCAGAACCATAAGGATGAACTCCTCTTGCGCTTGATGAGATCAATGAGGTGAACAGCACTATTTCTGTAGGTAACCTGGATACGGGCCGTCATCTATTGAATGACTAGTCAGCTATACTAAAAAGGAACGGGCATGTCAAACCTCCATGGGAGAGTCTGATGACTGCCGCCAAAGGCTACTATCGTCATCATGGACCAGGACTCTAACCAGAGTAGGTATCATCTATACACACCATACACACAGAAGAAAGATCGGCATTTATGCTTCCATGTACCTTGTGTTTCATTGTGCTCGTAGAGCCACACCATCTCGGCAATAAGGAATTGCAATAAGCTGAGCACCAGAATGAAGAGCCCAACACTCGCTAGGTTTAGAATGAGACCCTGTATTCCTGGGCCAGATTTCGAGGGAGGAAAGTAATTGTGGCAAGCCGCGTTCAAGGCGCTCAAAGACGATGGAGGAAAAGCCAAGCCCGTTATGGGATAAGGTCGTGCGAGTGTGGAGCAAGAACCGGCGGAAACAGTCTTATTGAGGGAAAGGCAGAGAATATGGATGTAAGATGCGCTGGCCGAGTTTGACTCGCATCAAATCAAGCCCCCAGAAAGGCCCTGTTCTAACAGAGCAAAGCCCCATCCTCTCGGAACACGCTGGCAGAAGGGCTGGCAAGCTGGCGAGCGCATAGCATCCTGGATTGCGCTCTGCGAATCACATGGCTCCAATGCATTATTTGTTTGTTTTCGCATGCGCGATTGAGGATGACTCGCCAGGTTAGGCCGCTAGGGACACGCGCGCCCTCAAGTGGAAAACAAACAGAGGGAAGAAAGACAAGGGCAAGCAAGCTAGGAGAGGCCGCGGCCAGCTTGTTGTTTCGAACCAACCTTTGTGGCAGGTCGTGGAAGAATGCTCTGCTCTCTTCTCTTGACCGCTTAACTTACTACAGAGAGTAAGTGTATCTCTGTACCTAGCTTCTGTAGTAAGAAGCTTTGGTCCAATGGAAAACACCTTGCGCCTTCATGTGCGAATTCATAGGTAGATGCACTACTTATCTGCTCTATTGTACACCACACCTATACGTATATATACTTCGTACTTGCGCAGCTCCCTTGGAGTTGTTTCCTAGAGCTCACTCATCCTACCGGGGTATATTTGCGACACGAATCTGGAAGGGCCTACTACCCGTGAAGTAAAGGGTGCCAGGTAAGGCGCTGGTGTAGAGACCTTGACCGCCTCCCATTGGCGCAAGTTGCTGTTAATGATGCGGTAACCAGGTGGGGAGGTAATATGGTGGATTTGTTTCCAAAGTTTTCTGCTCGTCGCCATGACTTACCTGACGGCCGGCATGGGCGATAGATGACTGTCACTAAGTACTATGGCTATATCTCACCAGATTACGCAGCCAATCCTTTGGATAAAACACAACCGGTGGCGGCCGACCTCTTGACCAGGAAAGTTTCATTCTGGCATCGATTCGTCGATTGTGACACCCGGTAATTTTAATATTTTCCCAGAGAGCAAGACATATATACCTACGAACAAGCCATCCACCCTCAGTTCGAGTTTGCGCGCTTATATACCATGTGTGGCTCTTGAATTATACAACCAGGGAGTCTGCAGTGGGTTCATGTTATGAATGTGGGCGGAGAGTGCCGATGATGCTTGAGTAAATGGGCTCTTATCGCTTCATAGCCACTACCTATTCGTGCCACACTGAAGTAATATATATGTCTAGCCGACAATCCGGGCACTGGTTTCCGAGGTGTCGCATTAATTGAAAAACACACACTTTGGGAAGCAAATTATGTGATTCCCTTTTGGACGTGTCACTTGTCTCGCACTACCTCGATATAAAGCGCGAGGTTGTATACTGTCACCAGCTAGAATGAAATTGCAGCAATTCACATCCGCTACAAGATATGTTGTCTTTTCAAGCGCCTCTCCCAAACTGTGGCTCGTCTCATTTCATCGATCTTACCGTGCATCGGGTGATCGCTGCTTGTGCGTGATTTAACGGAGAGAACGAGAACGGGCATTTACAGACAGTAGCGCAATAGGTTGCCTGACGCTCTCACATATCTAAATCGAATGAATTGGCTATGGCTTGTAGACTCTGCAATGAATCATTGCGCATTGTGTGGAAAGCCAGTTTAGGGCGCTAGCCTAGGAAATCCAAGGTCACGTGTTTTCGGGTCATGCTCGTGATGCGATCTCTCGAAGTGTCGCGTCTCTAGGAATAAATATGCGGTAGATGACAAAACTACTAAAGTAAGAGATTGAGTGATTCTGTTTTTCCCTGGACCTGGAATAATGTCTATGAGTACTCAGTGCTCAAGACTGATGTTTCCGTATTGGATATCAACTAATGTTTGCTGGATAATTGGATTTGTTGCGATTTGTTGCCTGAATGGAAGACGCGATGGGCTATTCTCAACTACGTCATTGGAGAGGCTGTAAGATGTCCGTGTCCTTGAGTGTGGCGCGGGGAGATGGGGCTGAACTGTACACTCGCATGTACTAGGTAGGTATTTGGGGGGGGGGGGGGGGGGGGGGTTTAAAAAAAAAAAAAGAAATTTTTTAAAATTAACACCCCGGGGGTATTTTTAAGGGGTTTTTATCAAAATTATGAAAATTTAATTTATTTTTT